ACAATCTGTAAATACATCTTATAAACTTTAACTCAACTTATGAAGCAATCCTATAATTATGAGATGTCCCGTGACTAATGCACCATATAACAAAATTTTAACGTAACATAATAATTCTAAAATCTAAATAATGTGACTATAAATGTACCATAACAAAATAATTATGAATATATGAATAAACCATCGATATTATTTAAAAAGCACGCACGGTCACTCACGAAAAAGCTTTACGATGTTACTTTGGGCAATCTTCTAGGATACAACAAAAAGTTTTTTATCGGACAATTTAGCAGTCAGCCAAAGTCAAACCTCAGTCAAACAAACAGTTTCTCTTCACCCTGTAGAAAGCCGCCATCTTTGTTTTACGACCTGTTCGCAGGCGTACAAGCCCTAATTAGTCGACCTGGGTGTTTAACGCACGCACACCCACAACTCGATAGCATAGTATCTAGCGCTACGCGCAGATGCAAAAACACAGGAAAAAATTGAAATTGCTTGGTAAACAGCCTTGTGAACCCAGACAATACATAAATTACCACAAACGTCCGTACAATAATGTTCTGAACATATTCTAACCTGTAAAAGTCCCGAAGTCCAAAGAATTCGTCTTTTTGGGATTTTTGTAGTGTTTTTGAATCGCTTTGTCGTTTATAAAGGTCAAAATACCCATTACATAACCTCCAGATACAATCTTCAAGACGACTCTGAATATCTTTATTACCAGAACAAATTCCCCTAAAAATGAAAAAAACAACAATTAAAATACTAGAAACAAATCAATAAACTGACGTAGCTTATCCTATAATAGTATTTCAACTGGTTAATTGTTCTTCATAATCCGGACGTAAGTCCCCACCTTAGGTAACGTCCAAGATTTCAAATATACAGTGCAGTCCTCACGCATTTATAGACTGGAATGTTAAGTATTAGATTAAGAATCGTCACAATCGCCTCAAACCTTGCACTATCACACAGTTCATCTTCACTTGGTACTCCTCTACTCAACATGATGCCTCGGTTCATCTTAGCCGGATCCAACGCCCAATTTGATAAACCAATAAAACCAACACGGTGATGATCCGAGGTTGTTCCTGTTTCTACCGTGGTAGCTGTGCCATCTTCCAAAAGGGGATGAAGTGTTTTTAAAGGCATCAGGGGAGAATCTTCAGCTAACCCAATTTCGTCCAATACTACCACAGACACAAATTTATTCAGGTCTTTGTCCTTTTGAAGTTTAGCGCACTGTTTGAAGGTTGATACGATACCTTCAGGGGTAGATAATGGGCTGCACTGGTAAGATTGCATGTGGATCTATTAAAATCACACCAATTAAATGAAATTAAAACATTTAATACTTATTGAACATTTAATACTTATTGAACTTTTAATACTTGAACTTTATACTGACGAGATCTAGCCCACATTCGATCAAGCAATGAACAGGGATTTTATACTCAATTTTTAAAATTTATATTCAAATTTTTATTACAGTATATAAAACATTCATGCATATATATGAAACATACTTTTGACGACTTAAACCTTGTCATAAAATAACGCTTGGGGATGATTTTTGCTTGTGCTTGTTTTTATTTAAATATATTGTGCACTCACAACCAGGATTGAAATTTTAAAAATGTTTTAGTCGCTTAAGGTGGCTCCTTACACTTATTAGAATTTGAAGTTCAGGTGTCATTCTCGCGTCGTGCGCGTGCAAAATTCGTGGTCTTTTTTAGACAAGCTGGCGAAATCATTTTTGAGTGCTTATCTTGATAAAAACGACACCAGTATTCTTTAAATCGTACGTAGTTGAAATTAAAAAATACGTATGTTGTTAACCAGTTTTTAAAGTTTAGTTTAGTATGTTTTTTACGTTTAAGCGTTTAATATCGTTCAAAATCTTCGACTTGTCGTAAAGTCCAAACTACAGTGAATTAATAGCGAAATATAAATATTACTGCAGCGATTTAAAACTTGATTTTTAGAAACACTGAAGTACAAATAATTGTGTCACTGAAACACTTATTTGCATAATAGTTAATATCAAGACTTACTAGCTCTTCGCATTCAACTTGAATCGTCTATTGTTTTATATTAAAGTTGATCCTTCATGAAACAAATCTTTAGCGAAAATTTTTTAATAGTCTTAAATAATTTTATGGTCTTTTATTCTGATTTTTACAGCAACTCAACGAGTGCAAATTTTTCCGTTCTTACTTTTAAACTTTGTACACTCTAGAGCAATCATACAATGCACAAAATATGCGAGTTAAAAAAAATTGTAGGTGCCGATTTTTTTTATTTTGGAAATACGATTTTTCGAGAATTAAAAAAAATTGGCTCCTACAATTTTTGTAAAAAACTATTATTTGGAGTGACTACACATTAGCTTCATGTGTGCAAAAAATAAAAACGTTTCGCCGAAGGAAATTTTAAAAATCAAAGAAAGAATGCAATAATACGATTTATTTAAAATTACATCTTGTTGCCATGGCAACGAGAATGTTTAAAGACGTTTTTTTCGTAATATGTAGATTGTGTGCGAGTTTCGTGATCATATCTTGCATACTGAGGAAATAATGGGCCTTATTAGGTGGCTCCCTACAGTTTTCTAAAACTTTAAGTATTTTAGGTAACCTTCGTTTTCGACCGAATTTATATTGAATACACTTAA